TTGAAGGGACGGCTGCCTTTATACAAGTGCAACTAGCTGTTCAATGTCTGGCGGAGTACAGTGATTTCCCCACATCCCTCCAATAAGGGGTGAACACCCCCTGAAATTTCAAACACCCTAGCGAGTGTTGAGTCATATTTGCCGGAAAATATAATTTAATTCCAATTATGTTGAGTTTTATAGTATTTGGACTTCCAATTCCCACTTTAATCTACTTTTGCTATAAAAGGTCGCCTGTAATCATTTTAAGCGTAGAATATGGGAATAGGGATAAAATTGACGCGATAATTCCCACACAAGGTAGATTTCTCTCGAAAATGTTCTTTGAAACAATATGGCGGCGCCTGCTTGTTTGGTCACAAAGCCAAAACTCTCGAGTGTGTGATCATTGCCTTATTCAACAGTGAGAAACCGACATAAAAATATTTTAACTTCATTTCAATCAAAAATTCAAACGATCACTGCTCGATTTACGTCAAAGGACTATTAGCTTCCGGGAAATGATCGTTGAAAATTTTTGCTGCTTCGAACTAGCATAACCCTGGCATCAGAATTTTCACATCCCCAACCATTGCAAATGAAAAAAGCAAAGCGAAAAATAATCAGAAATCCATCTCGCTTTCGTCTGTTGTTATCGAATTTAATCTCTGCGCTAATTCGTTCATCTCTGTATACTTTACAGCAAAAGTTCTCAGCCTTCATTCTCTAATTTAACTCTTTGCGAACTGAAAATAAAATGTACCCACACTGAGCAATGGGCGACGGACGAAAAAGTCTTTAGAAAAAGGAATTTCAACTTAGCATTGTGCAGATATATAAAATTGATTGCGTTGCGTTTATACAACTACGATTATCCCCTACAAAGAATTATCCTACTTTATAGCGCGTAGGCCGAGTGGTTAAAGCGCTGTTTTACATCTCTGGTTCAAATTTCATGCCCACCTCCTAACCTAGGTTGTGATGAATTAGGGGAAGCAATGCCAATGCCAATGTTTTATTGAGTTTAGTAGGAAGTTTTGAGTCATTTTATCGCCATTGAAAGTCTGCGATTCCGACTCCCGGAGTAACAAATCACGTGGTGAAGGGCAATCCTCGCAAATTCACAAAGGGGCAAAATCCAACTTGTTTTATGTCTATGAAACGCGGTATTTCAATGCATTTCCACGTGTGATATGTCATTTTTGGGAAAATATAGTAAGGGCTTCGAGTAAAATTATAATCAGAAAATGTCACTGATATATTTAGCGTTAAATTTGCGTTGCGCTGTTTGAAAAGAAAGTAAATGATTGACGTGAGCTTCCGCGATTTTTTTAAAGTTAATGATCTCGTAAAATTACGAATGTGCTTTGGAAATGCGTTACTTCGAAAACATAGTCTAACTCATGAATGATGCAGCGGAAATTAGTTGAGCGATAGCAAGAATTGCAAAGGGAAGTTGATAATATTGTCTAGTTCTCATCGCAGGACTTTTTCCATCAATATTTCCAAAACTCAAAAAAAGAAACTAGTAATTTTCCATTGCGCTAGAAATTCAATTTTCAAATCTTCTTTAACCATCAACTGCATATTTACGATGGGGGTGTTTTTTTCTCAAATTTCACCTTTTTACATTAGTGAAATTGCATTGCCATGTCTCGTCTAAACTTAGCTAACAGGAGAAAACATCTTCCCGATGTATAGCTTGCGAGATGTTCATAAAACCCTAAATTGGGTTGCGTCTCGAGATTGTTTAAGAACCCCTGGTTCAGTTTACACATAGCGTAACAATTGTAGCGTAAGTTGTTGGGTAAATTTACTTTTTTGTTAACATATATCGCGCCTCGATAGCATGAATTCTAAAAGTTGGAATAAAGTTTCTTCTATATTTTTAAATATTCGTGGTATGTCACATTCGGTACCCCGATTTTAAATTTGATTGGCTGAAGTCTAAGAGTGTTTTTTTTTTCTATATTCTCAAATATTCGTGGTATCAGAAATATTGCCACGTCATTCGGTACCCCGATTACAAATTTGATTGGCTGACGTGACGTAATTTACATCGATAATTTCAACGTATATTTATATCCATAAAAAGAATAGTCGTAATTTCAGAAGACACAAGTGGGCCGGATAAAACACTTCGGTCGCCTGCGGGCCGTAATTAGCCCACCCATGTATCAAGCACGCGCAAACAATATTTTTGTGGTAAATCTACCTTGTTTGGGAATAACAAGGGAGATTCTAACCCGAGTCCCACTATATCACTTTAGCGCAGCGGTCCTAACTCTTTAGCACTTTACTTAGTTTACTAATTTTAACCCAAAAGTACCCAATAGTGTTCATTTATTGGAAAAGAAATTAGTAAATTACCTCATTATATTCATTTGAAGTGACGACTTCCTTTATTTATTGGCAAATAGCTGTTTAATGTCTGACTAGCGCAGTGATTTCCCCACGCCACTCCCATAGAGGGCAAACACCCTCCTACAATTTCAGACACCCTGTCTAGTGTTGGGTCATATTGGCAGCAAAATTCAATTTAATTCTAATTATGTTGGGTTTTTATCGTATTTGGACTTTAAATTCCCACTTCAATTTACTTCTGTTATAAAAGGTCGCCCATAACCATTTGAAGTCGTAACAAGTGGGAATAAAAATCGAAGCGATAATTCCCACACAAGGTAGATTTCTCATAAAAATGTTGTTTGAAATAATATGAACGCCCTGCTTAGTTTGTCACAAAGCCAATTAAATTTAAAATCATAGCACCAAAAATATGCGGCAATTTTGCGCTTATGGTAGATATTTCAAGAAGAACGAAAGCGTTGGGGGTTAAGGGAGATCATCAGGAAAAACAACGTTTCATAACATGTGATAGTCACTGATATTTCCAACTCCGGAGTGTGTGATCAATGCCTGATTCAACAGTGAGTAACCGACATAAAAAAATTTCATTTTATTCCAATCAAAAAATTCAAACGATAACTGCACGATTTACGTCAATAAACCATTAGTTTCCAGGAAACGAAAGTTGAAAATTTATGCCGATTTGAACTGGCATAACTCTAGCATCCCATTTTTCACATTTTAGCCATTGCCAACGGAATAGCAATGCAAATAAAGCCGTCATCTATCTCGCATTTGTTTGCTGTTATCGGGATTTATAGCAAAGGTTTTCAGCCTTTTTTCCCTAATTTACATCTTTGCGAATTTAAAATAAAATTCAACCCGCCATGGCAAAATCCGACGTGTTTTATGTCCATAAATCGCGGCATACCAATGCATTTTTACGTGTGATATGTCAGTTTTTGGAAAAAACAAAGGGCTTCGAATAAAATCATAATCGGAATATCTTACTGATATATTTAGCATTAAATTTGCGTTGCGCTGTTTGAACAGAAAGTAAATGATTGACGTGAACTGCCGCGACTTTTTGAACGATAATGAGCTCATATAATTACCACGAATATACTTTGAAACTGCGTTACTTTGAAAGCATGGTGTTACTCATGAACGATGCAGCGAAAATTAGTTGAACGATGGCGGGAATTGCACAGGAAGTTTTGATAATTACCGGTATATCAGATTCTCAGCACCATATGCTATACTATACCTACACCGACATATTTGATAAATGTTATCTAGTACCATGCCTGGACCAAAGCTCTATACATTCAGTTGGAAGCCAATATGATTGATTTAACTTAGTTCAACTGCGGCACAAACATAAATTCAACGCACTAACACACGGTCACGCAATGTTGTGATCAACTTAACAGCGACTTGTATCGCTTGCCCATCTACGAAATCCTTGCACGTAACTCCGAATATGGACAGGGGGATTTTTCTAGGCTAGAAGGCTTAGCTTGTACTGATACTGGTTTTGAGTGCAGTGTTGCCTGACCCATACATTTGTGGAACTGACCTATAAGGCGCGCGATCAATTTTAAATGGCTCAAAAATTGCGCGGATGGATAAATAAAACATAATCATACCTTTGTCTTCTATTGCAAGGACTGACCAGGTATGAAAGATGCTGGGTCGCGTTGCAGAGCTGCATACTTTATTGCTGGGTCAAATTGAGTGAAACTTATAACCGCATAACTAAAGTAATGTCATTTTTCCATTTTATTAGCTTTTAACTTAAAATTTCTAACAAAATCATGCTTAATATTACTTTACGAGTCTTGCGTGTAGCGAATCATAGGGTATTCAAATCTTTTCTTCCTAACAAATTTGGCGACGCGGCGCTCATATGTGGCTATTTTTTATTTTGCACTTCTGAAGCAAGTGAACCGAGAATTCGACGTCCGAAATGCTATATTCGATGTCTAAAATCTCATTTTCGACGTTCGAAATCTTATATTCGATGTTTAAAACAGTGCTCTTCAACCGGGTAGACGGTATACCCAAGTGTACACCAGACCATAAGTTGGGTATACAACTGATAAAGGGTATACGAAAAGTGGACAGCCTATAAAATCTTCAATTGTATACAACAATGCAAACGCGGCGCACATGAAATGTAAAATGTTATTAACGCTAAGAACCGACGTGAGCACGTTGTTACATCACAATAGATAATACGGGCATGTGTCTTGGTTGGTGATTTCGGACGCCATACACTTTGTTTGATGTACGTCGAACATTATTCCCGTCGACGCTAAGGCAGTCAGTCAAATTTATAACTTGCGGTCACTAGCCTATTAGATTGCATGATGATATTGCAGTACAATATGTTCTTAAAATTTATTGTTTATTTGAGCCTTAAATAAACATCGAGATCCGAAATCCTGTATCGGTCGGTGAGCCGACCGAAGCCCCCCGCCAAAAATTAATCACCCCAGATCCCGCTCAAAAAAAAAATTGTAATTATCCAGTTATATTGAAGGCTAGGAAAGCAGATTGCGCAGGAAAGTCAAATTTTCAGATCATTTCTGACTCTAAATTCCTGATTTTCAGTTGATATTTATATTTATATCTACACAGACTGGGCCACGCAATATTAAAATCCGGCAAGACATGTCTGGCCTGGATTTTCATATATAATAATAGGATTCATGGTGTCGGTTAATATGCCATATTGCGCAAAAATTTACCAAAATTCCGTCAAATATGACTCTCACGGGCATGGTAGTGACGTCGTCGTCATCGTTTCATAAAGATAGAAAGAGTAACCCAAACTCTCTTTTTGTGACGCAACACGTCTCCTGAAATTTGAAAGAGAGAAAACAATTTCTTTTCACGCTCAAAAGTAGTGAGTCAGCTTGCATAGGATATATTCCGATGCGAATAGACTGAAGCTTCATTCTAATTTTTGCTGTTCGAAAATTTACTTTCATCGAAGCAAAGTTGACGAAATTCTTGGATTCGAAATGAAGATTCCGATTCGACACAGTTTCATCGGACTCATACTGTTGATGGAAGCTTGTTTACTGATTAAAGGTCAGTACAACCGTGCATGCTTTGTTGGGTTTGCTTGCTTGCCTGAGTTTTGTTTTTTAGGGCGCACTAAAACTGACATGAGCAAACCATGGCCGGCGGGCCAATACTTGGCCAGTTTGTTATTTTAATTTGGCCCGCCTGATGCTACCACAACCAAACTAAAACCCAATTTGGAAGTTTTAGCTAAAAAATAGCCCAAGGAATTTGAGGAAATTATGATTAAATTTTGGTAGAAGGCTTATGGTTTCCTCTTCTGCTTTTGTAAAACCGTTAAGACTGTTCATGAAATGTGACTTTTTGCGTCACACTTACATGGCCCGCCAGTCTAGTAAAATTTTTAACCCCCTGTCCAAAAACCTTGCCACCCCTGCACGATAAAATAAATAATTTCGTTGGATATTTGATACCCAATTGATAATTCTTACATCAAGTAAAACTTTTGCCTCAGTATATCAGGCAAGATAATTGAGCTGCTCTAAATGAAGCTGCACATAGAATAATTGTGCATGAATAATATTCTGGAATAATCTGTATTAAAATTTACAAATTGTTAGTGTTGGCTGTTTTTTGGCTCTCCAGAAGTGTATGTACCAATATTAAGGTGACTAATTTCGTTCGCCTAACTTATATCGAGTTGTATAAAAAGACTGGAACTCATGTGGGGGGTATTTACTTGGCTATCACACACTAACCCTAACCTGGTACACTTACTATCAACTTATAATAATCGCTGATTTTACAAAAGCAAAAAATAAAATAATTACTAAATATTCCCCAGCAATTTTCGAATATAAAAATAAGATTAGTAGTTTATAGAAGGGGTAAGCTATTTAAAAATTATATAAAGACTCAAACAATCAGGCCATTGATATCCAAACGGCCTGAACGCTTTATATAAGTATTATGGTGCTCCGGTAGTATGTGCACTAAGATGGCGCGCAACCTGAACATGGTATGTGTACCAGGCTAAGATTATCAGATTGTGCGCCATCTTGGTGCGCTTCGGTAGTATGTGCACCAAGATGGCGCACAACCTGAACATGGTATGTGTACCAGGATAGGCTTATCAGGTTGTGCGCCATCTTGGTGCGCCCCGGTAGTATGTGCACTAAGATGGCGCACAACCTGAACATGGTATGTGTACCAGGCTAGGATTATCAGATTGTGCGCCATCTTGGTGCGCTCCGGTAGAATGTGCACTAAGATGGCGCACAACCTTAACATGGTATGTGTACCAGGCTAGGATTATCAGGTTGTGCGCCATCTTGGTGCGCTCCGGTAGTATGGGCACCAAGATGGCGCACAACCTGAACATGGTATGTGTACCAGGCTAGGATTATCACGTTGTGCGCCATCTTGGTGCACATACTACCGGAGCGCCGTATTAAGATTATAAGTATAGAATCCAGAAATCTAATAATATACGTTCTTATTGTAACAGTGTATTGGTGACATTATTGTAGATATTCCATATTTTTTCCAAACCACATCGAAAAACTTAAATATGAAAAATAGGACTCCAGAAGTGTGTGTACCAATATGAAGGTGACTCATTTTGTTCGCTTATTTTACATCAAGTTGTGTAAAGGAACTGAAACATATGGGCAGGGTGGTATTCATTTGGCTAACACAGATGGCCCAACAACTCGTAATATAAATGAAATAAAATTTTGGCCTCATCCTAACCTGGTACACATACTTCGGGATTACCGTTTTTTATTCGGCTTATAATTATTGTTGATTTTACAAAAGCAAAAAGTAAAATAAATACTAAAAACCTCCTCAGCGATTTTCGAATATAAAAATTAGTGGTTTATACAGAGGGTTAGGTATTTAAAAATTCTATAAAGACTCAAACAATCAGGCTTGATATCCAAACGGCATGAACGCTTTATATAAGTATTAAGGGCGCTCCGATAGTATGTGCACGAATTCAACAAATTTTAACATTTCATGAGGTATTCGTAAATTGGCGATTTCGCCAATATAGGTGACACGGCGTAACTGTGAATTGAAACAATTCATTTGACAAATTTCATATCTGCTTTTTCGTTTTACGGCTGGAATATTTGTATCGGGAGGAATATTCATTTATTGCGGCGTAGGGGAAGCCGGTATGACGGCGTAATAATATGACGAACCTCGGTCTCTCGATGAAAGTTGAACCAAAATTTAAATTTTGAAAATAATAATTTTTTATCTGATAGATTTCCCCCTCGAATACCTCGTTGATTTTGTAGCTAAAATACCATGTAATTTATTTATGACGTCATAATGTATTCTTTATGACTTCATTGTTTAAGAGGACTCTCGAAAACTCAGAAGCCTAGGGCCTCTTGTCATCTGAATCTCGCCCTGACCGTGGATCTTACTAAATGGCACTTCCTTCATTGTAAAACGATTTTTGTTTTGAAATCTCCAATGAGAGAACTTCCTCATTCAAAATGTTTTGGTTTTTAAAGCTAAATCCTAAATAAATATCGCCAAATACACTCAGATGTTCAGAAGTGAAAAATCGCTCATAGATTAGCGGGTGTGTTGACCCATTGGTAAAGCGTTGGACTTGGATATATTTACATCGCAGGTTAAAAACTCGCGTTCCATTTTTTATACCCATCACCTCACCCAGGGTGTAGCAATGCCGAATTCGGTTATAAAGGTGTATAAAGGAAGCATCAAACAATGGGAACTTTCGCGAGTTTATTGTTCGCCAGAAAAACTGGAACGATTTATAGAAACCGACGGTATGAATCAAATCTTTGCCTATGGCGCACTTTCGATGAACATTATTAGGTTCCTCAGCGGCGGGCGTGAAATTTAAATTTGATTCGACCAAACATCATCGAGGAAAATAGTGCGTTCGCATGACGTAGGTAGCAGTATAAAATTAAATATGGCATAAGCGAATGCGCGCCATAAGGAAATAGGTACTGAAATAGTCTCTCTATAAAAAAAGTTCAGTGACATAACTTTCGTTTATATGTTAAAAAAACCTAATTTAAAATGAACGATTAACTCGATTTCTAATTTTATTTTTTTTTCTAACAGGAGAGGAATGCTGGATTCCTATGATTTGCGACGATCAACCTACTTGGAGAGAACTTACGGTGAGAGCTTTAGTAGTAGTTTCATACTGGTGGTATTTCACTTTAATCCATGGGAACACTTTTTCACGGGGAACACTTGCTAAGCTGAGGCCTTACTGCATGGATGTGCAACCTCATGTCCATATATTCAAACATTTCTCTCTTGTTCTATTTCAGAATGGACAGTGCACAAAAGAAGAAGAGAAAGCTTTGGAAGGTTCGTGTCCACAATATTACTTCCTTTAAAATGCCTTTGCTATTTTTCATATTTGCCAAACGGTATGATAGCTAACAAACGTTTAGGTACCCCTGAAGTATGCGTACCAAGATGGCGGAAATAGGAACGTAGTATGTTTACCATTTTAGGGTGAGGCTATAATTTAAGGTGCAAATACTACGGGAGTTACCTAATTAGTCCTCCAACTTGTAATTGAACTAAAATAAGGAAAATTAGAATGAAATTAGGACCTAATCCTAACCTGGTACAAATATTACGTTCCAATGTCCGCCATCTTGGTACGCATTCTTCAAGAGCACCACCGTTTTATCAGTAAATTTCAATCATTTTCTATTTTTATTGCGCCATTTTTACCAATCAAATCATGACATATAGTTTAGCAATACCCATCTCATAATTTTATATTGAACCAGAGAGAGGATTTATATCTTCTAACAATAAAATTCACTGGATACGGATTGTAAAACTGATGGCAATTTAAATTCTGTTTTTTTTATGTTTCGCAGCTTTAACGGAACGATTAGACGGGATGAAAAGTGAGCTCAATCAATTAGAAAAGGCGTTGGAAGAAGCAGAGACGAACTCAGTGCAGCCCTCTGTTGTAGGAGTCAAAGAAACGACCAATCCCCAGGGTATGAAAGACATGTATTTTGGTATCTCATGCACTGGATATTGAAAAAGTCCTTTTCAGTAATAGTAGTCGGTAATAAGGCGATTGTGCAAAAACGCTGACCTTGAGTGTCTCATTCCTACCTTGAAGTACCCGAACCTTCAAATCTTGCTATAAACTTATAATATAAATTCACTTTTTCACACAGGTAACAAAGTCAAGAACACGACGCGCTCTTCAACCGTTCCTGCTACATCCCCGTGGTCAACTAAGGAAGCCTTTCTGTCTACTGTGCTCCCACAAACTACAAAAGTCGAACAGAGTACAGGTTGGTGTGGCCTTTTCTTTCTCGTTTTTCACTCGGAAAATATTTCTCCCCTAAACGCTTTTTAGTACACGTTTAATATCTTAATTAGGAATTCTCCAGAACAAGAAAATTGCGATGGTTTCCGGAAAAGTAGTGAGATTTGAAAACGAATCACGAAAACACTAAATGTATTAGCTCGATTAAAAGATATCAACGTTATGGCTTCAGATTATCCTTGAAAAAATGACTTTCTTTATCCCTGCAAGGCGCCTAAAAAAAGGACTTAGCAAAATTGCCTCAAGATGGCGTCATAGTTCGAGCGTTGCTCCGCTTTATGCCCTATAGTGTTGTTGCTGCACTGTTCGACTCAAGAAATCGGATACTGGCGTAGTTAAGTAATTAAAGCAGGCACCCTTATCGGATTAAGTAATCCCAAAAAAATATCGTGAAAACGTCTGTATATTTTGTCGTGTTTTTTTTGGATGACGTAGTCAGATGGGGGTTGGGAATAAAATATGCAAAAAATGGTTAAGCCACACCCATTACATGTGATATTAAACTATACAAGACCCAAAAATCGCAGTTACTCACTTTTTCGTCGATTTTTTTTCGATACAAATTTACTTTCCGCAAATTGGAATTTTTTTAAATGTTGATATTTGTTTTATTTTATCCACCAAATATACTGCATTGATGAATTGAATGAGAATAAATCAAGAGCTGATTGCCCGCACGAAAGGCAGTGAGGGTTGTAGCTTGCCCATCCGGGCTCTAAATCAGGGGTCGGCAAACTACGGCCCGCGGGCTGAATCCGACCCGAATTTATTGTGAGACACGTGTAGACTAAATTATATTATAACGTGACATGTATAAAATTCACAATTACTCGTTTAAAAAGCAGATAATCTAATTATAATTAGACAAATAACAACAAAACGCAGAAATGTTGATGCTAAATGCAAAGAGTTTAATGGCGCCGAAAATATTCAAATGAAATTGAGAAAATAAATCTATATTCTATTTGAGAGATGTATCACTGCTTGATTTTTAATATAAAAAGTATCATTCGTTCGGTTTTAAACTTTCTATAAATATGTGTGGCCCGCCAATGACTTGCAACCTTCAATTTAGGCCCGACAAACGTTTGCCGAGCCCTTCTCTAAATTCTTGTTTTTTTGTGTGTGTTTTTTTTTATTCGAGGTCGAGGAGGTGAAAATACCTATGATATCAGAATTTGGCAAATTTGTTGAAAAGTCTGGTCTGCACCTTATAACTGTTTCAATGTTCAGTTACAGTACGTACCTGCCCAGCACCTGAAGCTCTAGACAACGGGATTGTGGACCTTGCGACCGCACCTGACTTAGAGTTTGGTCAAACAATCGAATATTCATGCAATGCTGGATACGTTCTTCAAGGATCAAACATGGGAAAATGCGGAGAAAATGGAACCTGGGGGGAAGTGCCCACCTGCGTAGGTAAGTGTTGACGCTGTGTATTCGAGGATAATTTTTAACTCCAAGGTGTTCGGTTGTTGGGGCCTCGTGTAGTTTCGTATCCCAAGTACTTCCAGTGAGTGTAGCATAACGATTTTTGCACATGTCAATCCTAACCCCTACCTGACTATGTCATCCAAACACTGACTAGTTAGATATTTCTAAATCCAACATGGACTGGTAATGAGACCACTGGTGGGATTCGCTATTTGATTGAGCCGTCTCATTGACTTTCCTCTCCCATGAGATGAATCGGCCCTACCAAAAATCCGATCTTGAAAACTTAGCAAACTCCCAATTAAAATCTGACTCTTATTCAAATGAAATTTACACTTCTTAAGTCCAATTCATGCAGGCCTGGCTAAATATACTGATATGAATTATAAGCAAACCTGCCTTTTGAGTTTTTATTGATAATTTTGACTTGTTTCCATTGAAAGTCTGACATTAGGACATTTGATTATCTCTGGACTTATAACCTGAGTCAAAGTCAAGATTGTTTTTAACCCGATGTCGATTGTGAGTTTCATCTGACTTTACAGCCCTGTTCACAGTAAAATAATATTTGGTTTAGGCCAGAATACGAGGCTAGGTCTCTAAAAAAGTTCTTTTATGTCTTTCAGTCGATCTTACTTGTGATTTTGAGTCTTCAACCAACCCTACATGCGGCTACATGAGAGTTAATGGAACATTTGAAAGGACTAAGGACATTACAGGTATTGTTTCCATGTGAAATGAGTGAGTGCCTGTAACTTTGCTTACAAATGAGGCTTCTTAACATCTGAGTGAGTGTTCGTAACTTTGTTTACAAATGAGTCACCTTTACTTTCTGAGTGAGTGCCTGTAACTTTGCTTGCAAATGAGTCACTTTTATTTCTGAGTGAGTGCCTGTAACTTTGCTTACAAATGAGGCTTCTTAACATCTGAGTGAGTGTTCGTAACTTTGCTTACAAATGAGTCACCTTTACTTTCTGAGTGAGGGCCTGTAACTTTGCCTGCAAATGAGTCACCTTTACTTCTGAGTGGTGCCTGTAACTTTACTTCCAACTGAGTCTCCTTTACTTCTGAGTGAGTGCCCGTAACTTTGCTTGCAAATGAGTCATCTTTACTTCTGAGTGAGTGCCTGTAACTTTACTTCCAACTGAGTCTCCTTTACTTCTGAGTGGGTGCCCGTAACTTTGCTTGCAAATGAGTCATCTTTACTTTTGAGTGAGTGCCTGTAACTTTACTTGCAACTGAGTCTCCTTTTCTTCTGAGTGAGTGCCTGTAACTTTACTTACAACTGAGTCTCCTTTACTTCTGAGTGATTGCCTGTAACTTTACTTACAACTGAGTCATCTTTACTTCTGAGTGAGTGCCTGTAACTTTACTTACAACTGAGTCTCCTTTACTCTGAGTGAGTGCCTGTAACTCTGCTCGTTGAAAAATACTCAAGCTCTATCCCAGTTTTCACACCAGATATACTCACATTTCTTATTCCAATTCATTCTAGGTTATGTTCTTGCTGGTAATGGTACAATCAGATCCTTACCCAAGGCTTTGGCTGGCAATGAGGAACTATGCATGAGTGTCGACATAAAAGGATCATCTGATGGAGAACTGGTGGCCAAGGTTCACAATGGAACTGTAACGTGAGTAGCTAACACTGCATTTATTTTTTACCCAAATATTTCCCGCTTTCACCCCAAAGAAGGCTTTGTATTGGCAGACGCTATACAGTGAGGATTTATAATTTAAAAAAAGAAACAATAACGGAATTTGAAATTGAGTGTTTTAGATCATGCCTGTGCCACCTGCCGCCAGAAAGAAAATGCGGCTCACAAAAAAAAAATTGTGAAACCCGCGGCATAGTGCCAGTTTTGTCTAATGTGCGACATGAAAAACAAATTTTTGATTTAATCTGATACTTTTGAGTAATTCCAATCCCTTTGCGTTGCAAAACTAATATTTTGGTCCAAGTTATTATCTATGCCTATGAACATCTCATGTTGTCAAGCAAAGCCTATGTTAAATAAAAGTGTGGGCCGCGGCTTCACCCATTTTTTTGTATTTGGCCCTTTCTATTAAAGGTTGCTCGCCTCTGTTTTAGGGTATTCCAAAAAATTTGCTTTGAGTATCATCTGGAAACAAAAATACTTGCAAGCACTGTAATATGAAGAGCTGCTAAAACTATAAATAACTATAGTGGTGAATTAAACATTGGTAAATGCTGATTAACGGGAGACTTGAGACAGTTGAATTTAATGCGCTCGTGAAAAGAGTTAAATAATAGATATAGTGTAAATGGAGTTCCTAGAAAAAGCCGAAAATAACCGAGTTTGATTTTAGTTTGGAAGTCTATGTGAAGACATCAATGATATGTTTTGTAATTTTTAGGAAAGCAATCTGGCCGTTTTCTTCCTCGACCACCTGGAAAACCGAGAAATTTGTTTTAAAGAAAGTAAACTCTACAGATACCGAGGTTCGTAACACATTTGTTAGCGAATTTTTTAAATCGGAATTGCTCGGGATGTGAATCCCATCTCATAAAACGCGAAAGCTTTTTAAAATTTTGGTTGGGCGTAGTCTAGCTCTGACATGGGCAAACTACGGCCCGAGGGCTAAATTCAGCCAGTTGGGAAATTCAATCTGGCCCGCCTGATCCTGCTACAACCAAACTAAACCAAATTTTGACATTTTAGCTGAAAATAACTTGAGGAATTTTTTAAAAATGCGATTAAAATGTTTTTTACTTTTGCTTTTGTAACCGTGAATATTGTTTATAAAATGTAATTTATTACGTCGCGCTTACATGGACGCCAGTCTAAATGTCCAAATTTCTACCCCAGGTCCAGGTCTAGCTTTATCAGCGCTCAGAGGGTTGTAAACATTTTTTCGCATAATTGAAGTTTTTCTAGAATTCCTTTACAAACAGGGAACACACATTACCAACCTTTCACTCCGCATGTATAAACCTCAAATGTAGCCCTTTTGACTCTGTGAGAATTCCTTTGCAATTACGATACGTTCAAATACAAATGGGCAAAGTACGGGCCGCTAGCCAAAAACAGCCGTTGGGTAATTTAATCTGGCCCGCCCGATGCTGCCACAATCAAACTAAAATCAAATTTTGGCGTTTAAGCTAAAAAAAAAAAAGCTCAAAGAAATTGTTAAGATTACGATTAAATTTTGTTTTGGTACGAGGTTCATTGATTTTAAACTTTGCTTTTGCAAATATTTTATGAAACGTAACTGTTTACGTCACTTTTACATGGTCCGCTTTTACATTGCTATTTTTTTGCCCCTTTTCTGAAAACCTTGCCCACTCCTGCTCTAGTCTCTGCCTCGCTCAAACTTCAATCTTTTTTATTTTATTTAGGTCCAACTTGTGCTTGACGCATCCGGGAATGTAGAGTTAGACAACATAACAACTTTGAACTCTTCCGAATGTTATGGTTTTGGTAAGTAAGTAAGATTCCAGTATTTTTTAAAATGTATCAATGGCTGTTTGCAAAAGAAGCATTGATTGAAGTGACGAAATATTTTACAAATTCAAAAGAATCACAAACAAATACTCTGCGAGGTAAATTTTTATCATTTCTTTCTGTAGCTACACCATGTGCTAAGCGAAATCTTGAGAAGGGAACAATTTCTCCTGAGCAGGAATTGTACAGTCAAGATCAGGAGGTCAGTTACTCTTGCAACTATGGTTACACTTTGGCAGGGGGACAGACAGGAACATGCAAAGCTGACGGTTCATGGTCCACAACACCAGTGTGCACTCGTGAGTTTTTTTCTTTAGCTCTTACGACCATTCAACCATCATCATTTATAACCTGCTGTCTATACGGCAGTCCATTAGCCCTGTATGCAGGAGACCATTCAAATGGCGATTGGGGTATAATATCCATGAAGGGTAAATGCCAACACAACCGTGTTTAAAGCTTTTACCGCAATGCCATCGTGACCACAAAATTGTGAATGATTCTCCTGAACAAGGCATTGAGAGCACACATGAGCTGTTAGGCTTAGTCTACCAAATACTCCTCAAGTTAATTTTGAACTTTTTTTATCATTTGTTGTTTGTAGCTATACAATGTGCAAAGCAAAATCTTGAGAAGGGAACAATTTCTCCTGAGCATGAATTATACAGTCAAGATCAGGAGGTCAGTTACTCTTGCAACTATGGTTACACTTTGGAAGGAAAACAGACGGGAACATGCAAAGCTGACGGTTCATGGTCCACAACACCAGTGTGCACTCGTGAGTTATTTTCTATAGCAATCAGGACCATTCAACCATCCCCGTTTCTAACCTGCTGTCTATATGGCAGTCCAATAGCCATGTATGCAGGAGGTCATTTAAATAGCGATTATGGTCATATATAAATCATATATCCATGAAGGTTAGATGGAAACACAGCTGTGTTTAACGATTTTACCGCAATGCCATCGTGACCACAAAATTGAGCATGTTTTCTCTGAACAAGGTTTTGAGAGCGCACAGAAGCCGTTAGGTTTAGTGTACCAAATACTCCTCAAGTTAAGTTAACTTTTTTATCATTTGTTTTCTTGTAGCTATACAATGTGCAAAGCGAAATCTTGATAAGGGAACAATTACTCCTGAGCATGAATTATACAGTCAGGGTCAGGAAGTCAGTTACTCTTGCAGCAGTGGTTACATTTTGGCTGGGGGGCAGACGGGAACATGCAAAGCTGACGGTTCATGGTCCACAACACCAGTGTGCACAAGTAAGTTTTTTTTTCTTTCTATATTTCCTCTTTCTAGCCTGCTGTCTGTATGGCAGCCCAGTAGCCCTGTATGGTGGAGGCCATTCAAATGCCGATTGGGATCATATATTCATCCCTATTTATAACCTGCTTTCCATAAGGCAGACCAACGTCCCCGTATGGGAGAGGTACTTTAAATAACGATTGGGTCTGCGTTAAAAACTTCGCAAGTACAATTCACAATTGCCCAAAGTACTTAATCCATTACCCATCAATCCATTTAATCCACATACAGGCATATTTAAAATATCATGCTTTAATTGTGTTCAATGTAACCTGCTGTTTTGTTGACTAAAAATATAAAAGGATTACTAATTCAAAATGCCGCCGTCATAAAAATGTGTGGCATTGTGTCCGATAATATAATCTTGTTTTCATTCGTAATTTCCGATAAACGCTTTAGCGTCAAAGACAATCCAACATAATGTGAGCCATTTGCGATTGACAATGTCCAAAAAGCATTTTTGATCTGTCCCAAGCCTCCTAAAACAAAACTTATGGCTTTTCTCTTAGTTTTACTTTTATTATTTTACAATGCCGTTTTTCAATCAAAATATTTGGGTTGTGGATTCACCTATCTATTATCTCTAGCATCTCCTCGCCGATGAATATAATATCATGACTTGTTTTTAACAACAATCTCACAATTCCTTGCGAGAACCGAAAAGTAAATATTATCGTCCTCGCGTAATTTGTGATTTAGAGAGAATAAATATCAACGTGAAGGTGTTTAAGGCTTTAAGTAGCACACCGCGCTGATGAAAACAATCTGCGATTTAAAGAAAATGCAATGGCACGCGTTATTGGCGACTTTTTCAGTCATCCAAAAAAAACGAAAAAGGTGGTTTCCGACTCTTTTCTAACACTATGTGCGTTTAGTCAACAATTACGACTTTAGGCAATTTGAAATTTGCCGAGGTATGCGAAAATAAATTTCGTAATTTCGTAAATTCCTCCAAGTCTAGGATTGGGGCCATATATCCATCCCTAAACTACTGTCTATATGCCCTGTGTGGAAGAGGCCATTTAAATGACGATCCATAATCTGCTATCCATTTGGCAGCCCAATAGTCCTGTATAGGGGAGGCATTTGAAATGGCGATTGGGACTATATATCTATCCCTATCGTCACCGTATTCATTCTTGTTGCCTGCGCGCAGATTGGACGCCAGACTTTTTCCAGTTCATTCACCATTACTCATTACCCTGTGGCCTTCGTTTCCTACTCTTAAAAATTAAATTCAGCGGGTGCTCTCTCCTGAATTCGGGGCGTAGCGTATGTGACTGGCGAGCCATTACCGCTGGCCTGCTGGCATCGCACTCACTCAGAAATGAATTGAACCTTCCGGTTTTCATGCTTTCACTCTGAACAACATTCTACACAAACAAATATTGCGACTTGAAGAGCTAGGCGTTGAAACACGTTCATTCTGAATGAACAAGCAATTACTGATATATAAGCAGATGCTGTTATTACTGGTAGTTTTCACACATTCTCTCTGAACAAGGCTCTACAGGAGCAACCAAAGATAGGTGAAAGCCTATTGGTTTCAGCCATCCCTTCACTCAGAACAAGGCTCTGCACAAACGTTTACAGATAGGCAACGAGCTAATATTTTTGGAAATATTTTTACATTGAAATAATAAACTGTGCAGGCAACCACTGATACTGTTGATTTATCACGGCATCTACTGGCGATCGTGCAGGTTGTCTACGAACTCGCTTCATGACAAAAAGTTTTTTATAGAATATTCAGTACGTTATAGATTTATCCTGCTCATATTCGTCAAGTCCCATCGGATATTTCACTGCTATGTTTCTTCAGCTCTAATAGCTCAGTGGCTGCACGTAATCTGCTCATAGAAACGTTTACTTTATATCTGAGTAAGTTTGCGAGTCCTTTCTTGAATCCAACAAAATGACGTATGGTCAAAACTACTGAAGGATCACAATCATATTATTGTAAAAAACTACAAAAGACAAATATCCTGGATAAAATGAATAAAAGTTTTCAATTAAAACGTAGAATTAAATATTCTCCTTAATAATAGTTTCATAAATATCTGACTTCAAACACTTTTGAATGTCATTTTTGTTTCAGAATGTGGAGTTGTCTATGATTTAAGATGTTTTCGAGCGATCGTTTATGGCGTGGGAAACGTCTCATTAAGCGTCGCTGAATTTATTTGCGAAAACAAATTGGCCAACATTTATGACGTCACACACTACAACCGGGTTGTTGATTATTTACGATCAATGATTCCTGATGGGCGATCATGGATTTGGATTCGTACAGGAATGACTTACGAGGTAGATCGAGTCTGAATCATGCTGCTTATGCGGCCATACATTAAATCATTATAAAATATTAATTATAATACTATATAGAAATGTTATGGCCGATATTGCTACCGCATTACCATGTTCTATTACATTTCATTTTGAGGTTAAACCCTTATAACTGTAGAATAGGAGAGAAGTTCCAATCGGATCCTACCGGTTTAGAAAAATTCGTGGGCCAGCGTTTTTAAAAAAATTCAACTACAAACTTTCGTTTTCATGTAATGTTTCCGGGTTATTCAAAATTTGGCTACAACACAAGTGGAACGCTTCAACTTTACAGCTCTGATTTTATATCAGAAAAAAATAATTCAAACTAATTTGATTTATGCATTTACTTCATTCAATTCTCATCTACCAACGGTAATCACTGAAGTGTGACTAAGCAGAATTATCACGTGATGGTGTCACGCTTCATTCAGTTTCTTACTGGAGATCAAATGAGTTTGTTTTGCTTTATCAGATCATATGACAAGGATTACTGGTTCAACCATTCTCAACTATATTCTCAAACTGCCATTTATTATATTTCTGAAATATATATTTATATTTCAACAGAACGGTCAGCTGTATTCAACGACGGGCCAAGCTATGTCTCTACCAACTGAGGTTTGGCATAATGGGTATCCGGATTCCGGTGCATCGTACACAACTGTTGTTGTTGAAGTCAATCAAAACCCGGATGATCAAGGGATTTTTAATGATTCTCCTTCCTATGCACATTACGGAGCCATCTGTGAAAATGAATTATAACTCTGTTCATTGAATGATCGATAAACAAAAACTGTAAAATTACTCGAGTTTGAGAGTTATTGTTATTCACCCTAGTAGCCTATTTGAAACTTTAAATTACTATTTCCACAGTTGAACATACATATGCTATTCTCGAATATTCTTTAGCCACATGCAGCTTGAATTTACAGCCCAAGAACAAGCATATGAAGTAAATAGATCCTGCATGCGGTATGTAACTCTCATATGGGATACAGTTGGGTTGTAGGGTAATTACTTAACACTTGTATCAGACGGTTAATTTACCGAAACTTTTATTTAAAACGTCACGATGATAAAGAGTTTGCATAAAAGCCTGAGGTGTTTTAAATTCTCTCTCAGAATAAGGCTCCGCACAGTCTGTCGCTTATACTTGGAAAACTATGAATCGTTTGTTTTGGCTCCGCTGGAACTGTGATACATAGATCACAATGAATGTGAGATACATAAGTGACAAGCAGTCTGTTGGAAAGTTGTATAATCGCATGACATTGTTGAAAGCAATGTTGAACCGATGCGATTTTAATAATGCAAACTTATTCAAATTGTCTTTTGGGATTTTCTTGGGTAGGAATTTTATTAAAACTGCATTCATTGTTAGATTTTTACCAAACAAACTCTTTTTTATTTCCTAGATGTGTTCAAGAAATGTTTGAAATATTATTTCAACTCAATTTGCTTCTGATTGAATATAAATAATCTTGAAAAGTTGGCGATTTGGTATATTCAAATATATATTTTATTTTCAAGAAATTCCATTAAATCACAAAATGTTTGATACGCGATGAATAACGGTTTTGTATCTGTAACTTCTAAATATCTGAAAAATTTAAGTTCCAAATATTATAAAAAGACGTAGTCTTCGAATATTTGTCATTGAACCCTGTTTTGATAAGGCTTTGATATCGGAAAAATTCACAATCGACTCTGAAAAAATCAAATTTTGATAAAAAAAACTTTGGTAAATGCAAACATTTCTCAATGGACAATTCCGAATGCTCAGTAAATCAAAGCTTTTTGAATTTATAAGCAAGTTTTGAAACATTGAAAATCTACGATTCCGACAAATTCAGACTACTGCTCTCGTTTTATCTTGCTCAACTCCGATTCCACAGCCATATATTTTGTAAAGTTTGCCATTTTGAGTTGAATCGTTTTATGCAATTTAGTTTCATTTAGATAACTCAAAATTAAAATTACTGTAAATCAAAAGTAAATAATAGTTTAAAATCAACAATAAAATCAACAAGTTTTATTACTCACACCTCTGTTTATTATTTATTTTTGATTGATCATTTTTCATTATTTTAGATTTGGTATTTTATATCTTTAACTTGTTGTGATTCAGGCCATCAAATAATATATATTTGGTTATTCAATAGTTAAAAAATCTGACAAATAATTTGAAATTTCAGTGAGAATTAAACGCAATATGGGGGAATGTTAGAAATTTATCAAAATTAAAACAAATTACCACATTGTCTTCTTTTTAAAATGATCAATATATATCTTTGTATGCCCCTCCCCCCTCGGACTCTTGAAACATGGCAAAAATTTTATTTCTTCCGTTTTTCATTTTTCTTGTGTGTGAATTAGTGTGATATACAATATTGATATACAGATATTTTATTTGATTTTATTTGTTTCTGAATATTACAATTTTTTGGCAAAATATTTTGTCAGTAAAATTCAATTTGTTTTTCAGGAACTGAACTTAACAAATGAAATTGATGGAAAATAATTTGAACTTTCAGTGCAGAAATATTATTTGCTACGTTGTGTGAATAAAATTGTCTTGCAAAACGTTATCGATATATTTTAAAACCGGTAGATATCAAATTTATTTCCTAGAAAGCTAAGAAATTATCTTAATCGGAGAAATAAAATTTAAAAGTTTTAACATTTTTAACAAGTTTTTAAAACTCAACAATTCTATCCAAATTGTGTAAATAAGACAATTTTTTCTCCAGGAGTAATCCCCGAACATGGCGCATAGTTCATTTGAACTCTCTGAAAATCAAATTTTGTTGAGAAATCTTTTACAACTATCAGGTTTATTTACCCAATGTTCGAATTTCCATTTAATTAAAGATTCGTTGTGATCTGAGGAAAATATGAAGAATTCAACTTTATCAGAAAGTTAGAAAAACTAAAATCAATTGCAGCATTGTCTTCTCTTTAAAATGAGCAAGCTTTATTACTCACACCTCTGTTTACAATTTATTTTTCTTGAGTGTGAATTACGAGGATTGATGATTTTTTTATTGTATTTGGTATTGTATCTTATATGTTTGAATTGTTCTGAATCACGCCATTGAAAGGATATTATCCTGGTTTTTTGATAACTTAAAAAGCTGAAAAATAATTTGAAATTTCAGATATAACTATGACTGGTTTATAGCGTCTTCCTCCACGTCGAAATACATTATTTTATATTTTACTGTTCGTATACATTCGTATTTTCGGCAGGTGCCAAATTAAATTACTGATTACTGACTGACTGCGGGACTGAGCAAAAAAATATATTAAAATTAAAACAATTTACAGCATTGTCTTCTCTTTGAAATAGCCACCTCTCGAGCAAAAACATGCCAAATTTCATTTCTTTCGCTTTTCATTTTTCTTGTGTGTGAATTAGTGTGATATACAATACAGAGAAACAGATATTTTATTTGTTAGATGTGTTTCAGGTTTTTATCATTTTTTGGCAAAATATTTTGTCAGTAAAAGTTCAAATCATTTTTCACGAACTGGAGTTACATATGGAATTCATGAAATTTTCAGTGCAGAAATATTATTTGTTACTTTGTGTGAATAAAAATGTCTTGCAAAACGTTATCGATGTATATTAAAAATGATAGAGACTGAATTTATTTCTCAGAAAACTAAGAAATTAGCTTAACCGGAGAATTGGAATTAAAAAACAGTGAGCAAGTCAACTTTGAGAAATTCGGAATCTACCAATAAGAATAACAAAGAAATACTACTGTAATGACAAACAAGTGGCCATGAGTTCTCAAAGCCTCCGGAGGGGGCCATGAACCAAAAAAGATTAGGAACCACTAACAAAGAGTATAGAACCCATTCTCGTTTTATGTATGTGACAGATGAAGACCGCGGCAAACAATTTATTAACATACAACGCAGCAGAACTAAAGAATCTAAAATATTCAACGTCCGTGTCTATCCCCTTATGCAGGGTTAACAATTAACAATTATTGAATTTAACAACTCCATAGGCCCACTTTGTATCGAATAACTGTTCCTAGTTCTGGGTGACCTTGTGGTAGATAATGTTTCAGGTTTTCATATTTGCTCAATAGCAACAACATGCGGCTACCGTGTTAAATGGAATCAGACAATGAATGTCGATAAACTAAAATTAAAAAAAAAAAAATTATGTTTTATTAATATAACAATATGCTATTTAAGAAATCAAATTATTGAAGTTCTGTATCTTTTTTGAAGTTATAAATTTTGACGGTTTATTTTCAAATTATAATTTATGTAAGGGGTTGCAACCGTCGGATTCCGCCAGTACAGCTCATGGGTTCCGCGAGTTCCCAATCAAATCCGAGAGTCTATGTCTGCCGATATTGTTAACGACTTTCACACGTTTAAAGTCATTTTAATTTTCCATTATTAGACTTGCCATTATTAGGCTTGAAAACAACTTGCATTGACATCTAAGACATCGATTGAATTGTATTGTTTGCTTTATACCAGTTGAACATGTTTTATTATATTAGAAAATAAAATTCGTCCTAAACATCGGCTGAATCCGACAGCAATTATGCATCCCCTTTATCCCCCTCGGAGTTGAAATCCCTTGTGATCACCAAGTTTAAAAAAAAATAAAGTTCAGCGTGTTTTCGTCCCAGAATCACTGTAATTCAACGCAATTTCATTTGTGTTGTCTCAGTTTTCAGAGAAATATAGAGACAGAATTTCAATTGAAATTTCAAGCAGAGCTAAATAACAGCGTGCTGTTTGTCTCTGGGTCACGATATTTTCATGAGTCTGTATGTGTATTTTTTAATTCAGTTTTAAGAGAACTGTAGAAAGTACTTTGATCAATATTGTCTTCATAGCCAGGGCTCAAAGTGTCACAATTCATTGAATTGCGGTATTTTGTTGCATTATCATATGTGTTGTATCAGTTTCTGAGAAATCTGGAAAGTGCTTTGATTAATATCATAATCAGGTCCTTGACTGATATATTTAGTGCTAAATTTGCTTAACGTAGTGTTATTCAGACTGCAAACAAAAGAGTAATAAAAATGCAACGTTACATAACACAACAATAAACACTGATATTTCTGATTTAACAGTGAGTAATCGATATCAATACTATTTTAACCTGTTCAACTTAATTTCAACTTTTTTGACCTGTTTGATTTCAGGAAATTAGCGTTTGAAACTTTTGCCGTTTTAAACTAGCATAACCCTGGCATCAAATTTTGCACATTTTAACCATTGCTAACGAATTAAAACCAAATATTACTATCCAAATATTACCGCTCCACCGAAAGGCTTGAAAACCAGTCTCGTCGACAACCATGACATTGCCTGAATTGTATTGTGTGCTTATCATGTTTTTATTATGAGTAGAAGATAAAATTATTTTGAAATGTGTGCTAAAGTTATCAGCAATTGTGCATGTATCACTAGGAACCGTGATTTTCTTACACCCCTCTATACGGGGTGAATGTCCCTCCCCATGACATTTATTTTAACAATGAAGCTTTTGTCAAATTTTGCAACGTGAAAGTAGCAGCGCTGTGAAGACTCCAATGACAATTAATCAATGACCTGAATTGACTCGAGTTACCTGGATGAAATAACTCGGACGCAACCAACCCCCGATTACACACGACACAGTGATTGACTCGACCTGGAATCGAGATTCGGAAATTTCCTCCAAGACTGGAAAGTGATTGTTCCGAGTATCATTTCTGCCTGGTTTGTTCCTATATGCCAACTAGTTCAGACGTCCAAAACAAGTTAAATATTCGAATCAAATTGAAATTAATTATATTTGATATTTTAAATCCGAAATACAAGAAAAGAATTTCAATTAAAATTTAAAAAAGAACTGAAATACAGCAAACTCTTTGTCACTGAATCTCGATATTTGTATGAGTCTGTATGTGTATTATTTCAGTTGTAAGAGAACTTTAGAAAGTACTTGGATTAAAATTGTCATCATAGCCAGGGCCCTAAGTGTTTTATGTCCTTGAACCGCGGTATTTTTTCCATTATCATGTGTGTTGTCTCAGATTTTGGAGAAATGTAGAAAGTGCTTTGGGTAATATCATAATCAGGTCCATGACTGATATATCCAGTCTTAAAGTTTCTTTACATAATGTTATATAAACGGCAAACAAATAGCTATTCACAGTGTCAGCAATTGGACATTAGCAGAGAAAGGCCACGTTGCATAACACAACAATAATCACTGATATTTCTGATTCGACTGTGAGTAATCGATTTAAATAATATTTTAACCTGATCAATTTGTTATCAACTTATTTTACCTGTTTGATTTCAGGAAATGAGCGTTTGAAACATTTGCCGTAAATAAACTAACCGAACCCTCAAATATTACTCGTTATAAACATTGCCATCGATCAAAGCAAATATTACTCTCCAAATATTACCTCTCCGCCGAAAACCACTGGCATTGACACCCAAAACATTGACTGAACTGTATTGTTTGCTTTCTACCAGTTGAATATGTTTTAGTATAAACTGAAAATTGATTGGAAACGTCGTCTAAAGCAACATCAATTATGCATGTATCACTAGAGACAGTGATTTCCACACACACCCTCTATATGTGGTGAATAACCGTCTCTCTGAAAAAGTGATTTCCACACACACCACGCCATAAGCGGTGAATAAACGTTACTCTGAAATAGTGATTTTTACACACACCCCTCTATAAGTGGTGAATAAACGTTCCTCTGAAATTTTTTCAACAGTGAAGCTCTTGTCAAATATTTTTAAAGTGTATGAATGTCCTTGAATCGCCGTATTTGGTTTCCTTATCATGTGTTTATCTCAGTTTTCAGAGAAGTATTTCGATTTGAATTCCGATTTAAATTTCAAG